TTTTTATTTTTTTATCTTCTCTTTTTTTTCCTCTTTTTGTTTTTTATATATAATGGAGTTAAAGTATTTTACAACTTGTTTATTGAGTGTAATTATATTTGCTTAACGTTTATTTGGGTTTAAAACTTTTTTTCTTTTAAGTTCTAGTTAAGCCTGTATTCAGCTCTGGGAAGAATGGGGGAGGGTTTTGGGGTGGGTTGGGAGGGATTGGGGAAGGGGCTTTTATTGTAAAATTTTAAAAAAATTTAATAAACAAAAAAACAAAACAAAAAAACCCTGACACTTGAACTAATTCTCATGAGAACTTCCTCCTAATTCTGTATATTCAAACACATGCTCAACTAGGTTAGGTAAGTAGAATTCTTACACAAAATTAGAAAATCATATATAGAAGATATTTATCAACTCTCTAGAAATCCTACACTTTTAAAGCTAATTCCAAGGTTTGAATCCTAGCTCACCCACTTGCCTTTTGATTCAATAGCCATCTAGCTTACTCATTTCACTGCCCTGAAGATTCCTGACATTGATTTTTAAAACTGCTTTTTCTGATGTGAAAACCAGAGATTCCTGTCTTGCCATCTTCAATCCTTATCTCATTTCTCTCCCTATTTTCATTTTCCCTATATGGATCTGGAAATAGCAGAAATAGTCTTACAGAGACATGAAGTTGTTGTGTCCTATTCATTTCTGCTATTTCAATAGCTGTAGTTACCGAAGTTTCCCTGCTTTTAATATTTTCAATTCATCCTTCCTCCTGGCTGGAGATATCAAGAAGTAAGGTATTTCCAGTTGTCCTTCACTTGAGTTGAATTAATTCTCTCCTTAAAATCTCTTAAGCCTTTTTCAGATCTATGTTTTCCAGGAGTGCTAGCAACTGTAAATGTCACCCTCCCCCTTTTCAAGCAAGCCATTTTCACCTCAGAAAAATAATTGCTAATAGATGCCAGAACCACAGAATGTGTGGTCAGGGGGGTTGATTTATGAAATACTGCAAGTGGAATTATCAAAGGAGGAGAAAGATATATACACTTTTCTTATATTGATATTCCTTCCAACAAACTCAATTATTTCACAATATCCTTCTCTGAAATCCAAAGTACTTTCTATCTGGAAGTCTTCACTCGACTAGTCTATAAGATGGAGAGAAGTGTGTACAGTGTATGTAAGCTGTAAACAAAGGGCTACTGAGTGGATAAGTGAAAATACTAGAAATGTTTCAGTAAAATCTAGCATCCAGTTTTAAATTGTCAGATGATTATCACATATAGGAAAACTTTTGATAGAAAGCCTGATCTGATTTCTAGCTGATTAGGAAACCTTCTTGGCAATGATAGTTAGAAGGACATTTGTAGAAACCTTGGACAACCCAACTGATTGTTCAGGAGGCTCTGAACATTTTAAATTTCTTGCAGAAAACGAAGGGCCTTTGGGAGGGGGAAGGGATGGGAAACATTAGTAGCAAGTGTAGCAAATAATGACATGTGGCCTTAAATTACCATGCACGAAATAATAGTTACTTCAAGAGGTAAAATACCAAATAATTGCTGCGAGTTCATATACCAATGAAGATATTATTCTGAAATGCACATATCCTTTCTATTTCTCCAACTGTGGATGATGAAAACAAGACAAGCAAAGCTATATATATTCAAAAATGAAATACAGCCTTTCAAAAAGAAAGAGTACTATGTGAATCAATTATTAGTATTGAATAAGCAGACTGTATTGGGAGGCAGATATTTTAAGAAAAAAATTGCAAAAGGAGACATTTCATGATGATACATCACTGAGTTCCTCTGAGCCCCTATAGATTGGAACAAAATTTTCCCCAAAATGTTTGTGTCATATGCTCTTAACACACCTTCACCTTAACTATAACACAGGGCTGGTGCTTTGGAAGTTCCGGTCTTAATGTAACATTCATGTATGATCACAATATAACCATAGAATTCAATGTATCAGCAGTTTTATTGGCAGATAATTTTTTGATGCTGTCCAACTGCACTGGTTCTAAGTTCTATAATTTCTGAAGCCTGGGTTGTTTTGTTTTAGAAGAGAGGGTCCTCATTTTGCAAGTCCTCTGGTCATCAGTCTTATTGATTCTATACAAGAATGGACAGTAGAAAATTGCTAGGTCTTAGAGATGTACAGCTCACACTAAATACAAGAGCTAGCTAATGTATCAGGCAGCAAAGCAGCTGTTCAGTGTTGAAGAGAACAGTTACAAACCTTGAACCATCTACTAGGGCAATTTCTATGACATATGTTAGGCTACATGGTTCATCATGTGTGTGGTAAATGGCCCATTTGGATCCAAGTAAGTTGTAACACAGGAGCAAGGCACTGACACCCTGAACAGTTAGTGAGAGTACAAGAAAATCTGTAGCAGTGGCTTATTAGTGTTGGAATACAGAAGATGCTCCAAGCCATTAAGACTAAAAAGGCAGAGGTGGTTTCATACCTGTAAATTAATTATTCCACATTCCCAAAGGGTATAAGTAGGAAGCCATGCATATCAGAAATTCTCCATCTACCATCACCTAGAACAGTGCTTTGCAACCCATGGTACGTGTACCACTGGCGGTACTTTAGCACCTGATAGGTGGTATGTGTACGATGGGTTGAAAAGCACTGTAAAAAAAAAGGTAAAAGTGTAGCAGGGGGATGAACTAAAGCAGCGGCATTGCACAGGCCTGTGGGAGAATCAATTGGAGCTGTGGTGTTGCTGGGGCTCTGCTGAGTTTCCAGGCTCCAGCCGATTGGCATTTCCAGTAGCAGCACGTAGCTGGAGGTGCACCGAAAAGTAAGGGAGGGGAGAGGAGGGAGGAGAGGATATAAAAGGTTTTGGCGGGAAAGGGAGAGAGAAAAAAGACAAGGGGGGGGGAAGAAGGGGACAGAGAAAGAGAGATGGAGAAGCGCAGCTTTGAGGAGTCAGCTGGAGGTGCACCGAAAAGGAGGAGTGGGGAAAGAGGAGAGGATATAAAAGGAGCAGGTTTTGGCAGAAGAGGGGGAAAAAAGACAGGGAAAGAAGGGGATGGAGAAGAGGCTGTGGAAGGAGTGCCCAGCAGGCAGAGAGGAAAAAGAGAGGGGAGAATAAGCTGTGGAAGGAGAGCCCAGCAGGCAGGGAAGAAAAAGAGAGGGGAGAAGAGGCTATGGAAGGAGAGCATAGTAGGCAGGGAGGAAAAAGAATGAGGAGAGGGAGAGAGGAAGAAGGGCTGACCAGGCAGTTGACCACCAAGGTAGTGGTGCATATTAATAAATATGGATAAATTCATCATACATTTGTCAGTGCAAAGGGAAAGTGATTCAGCAAAGGAACCGCCACTGAAGAAATTAAAACCGATACTTTTTCCTTTTTTTAATGGTTTGTAACATTTTATTATGAAATAAAATATAAAAATACAAAAGCAAATAGTAGGACATAGTGGGGAGGAAAAAGGGGGGAAAAGTGAGGGGGAGAAGGGGAAAAGAAAGTTATTGATTTTTGACTTCCTCTGTTGTAGTAGAATGAAGCATTAACATAGAACCTCAACTTTTTACTTTTATAATAGTATAAACTAGCCATTTCTATAACAACGAATCAATCTAATCAGTAAAACCCAAAATCTGCCTTTTTTAAAATCAAGTTTTTGACACCTTGCTAAGCACTGGTGGTACTCGAATATTGTCATGTCCTAAAAGTGGTACAATCTGTGAAAAGATCGAAAAACCCTGACCTATAAGTCCTATCTTTCTAAATATGTAAAGTCCCAATGTCTGAATCCTAGTTCTCACCTTCTCACTTCTTTCAGTCAATGGCATGATGGCTATTGATTTCACAGTTTTAAAGGTCTTTGTCATCTGTCTCTTGTTTACAAAATAGTTTTCTTGGGAATGAATCAGATTCCTATCTTGCCAACCTCACCCTTATATGAACAATTTTTAAACAATGTTTCTAAGCAAAACACAATACCGGATAACACTGTATTTTATTTACATCAAAAGTTGTAATCATTTTATCTGTGTAATTGTGTGCACACAATCACATAGATAAAATGATTATAATGTAATAGTAAATCAAAATAGAAAAACAATCTACCATGCATTCAAAAAGGATTACTGTGTTTCCCTAGGGAAAACTCATTAATCTGTGTAAGCAGATTCATATGTGAGAAATTTCTTAAGATCAAATTTAAGCTTATTTTGTATGCATATATTTTATGCAACCTTTTCCCTTTTCCCACTACATTTCTTCAAAATGTGTTCACAAAGGGACTAAAATGTTTATTACATAAACTGTTGTAAATATTGTTCAGAAACATCACAACATATACCTGTTTTGTTGAAGTAAACTGTTCAAAAAATTCTTGTAAAAATATTCATTTGCCAAGAAATATAATATAAAAAATGATAAAACCTGAAATACTGTATGCTCTCAAAGTACAAGAGTATCAGAGAAATCCAACCAATTATTTTCTTATTTATATATCGTATCCAGTCACACTGCTTAAAATAAGCCACCAGAAATATTTTAATACCAGGGCTAGGAATTAACTCGAAATGCTGGTTTGGGTTAGATTTCCAGTATCAAAATATGTGTGCGATAGTAGCAACAAGGTGAGTGCCTTTTTCCTTTCTTCTAATCAGGTAAATCTGCTGACGAACAATAGAATAGGCACAATCTCATATTTCGGTGCTAATTAAAATCAAATCCTTTTGCAAGAACAGTATCTTACCCTTGTCACAACCCTATGCTCTGGAAACAAAGGTATTAATACGTCCGTTACCGAATACACAACTCTTTCTCCGGTTTCCTGAAACGAATCGTACACCCAAACTTTCTCGTATCTCAGTGCCGAAACCCGGGCTCTGGTCTCTCACCCGGCCCGGCCCTAATGGAGAGGAAAATATAATCGAGACACAAGCCCTGCCAATCATCATTCTGGGCCTTTCTGTTTTTCGTCGACATTGCCTCCGGAAGGTTTTCCTAGCTTGACTAATTAAGCAGCACTTCTTACCGTCACGGGAGGTGCCCATGAGTTGGTCCAGCATCGCGCGCATCTGAGCCTGTGCCGACATCCTGAAATGCGCGGGGCCCGAGTGGGCCGGCCAAATCCGTATAAACCCCGCCCACAGCGGCCTAGAAGATATCGAACCTGACGCTGCGGTTGTTTCTCTCAGAGGCGTCCTAAGGCGGAAGCAGCTTTCCTTTTATCGCTGAGCTCGGTGTAGCTACAATGGCAATTGCACCTTCCGTTCTTGTCGAAAAGGAACAGATAACCGCCTCGTGCCCGGCGTTACCTCACCACCGCGATTACCCCGCGCGCCCGACCTCTCCACGCTTGCCTACAGTGGCGTACGCGCGCTGCCTGGAAGTAACGGACATCCGTGCGCGTGCGCTTATCTCCCGCCTATACTTACTATTAGTTTCCCTCTGATTGGCTAACCTGGAAACTGAATCAGGCAGGAACTTCGGGCTTTTTGCCTTTGCTGATTGGGTTGACGAATTCGTTATTCCTTTAGATTCGCGTAGGAGCTGATTGGTGGCTTAGTGTGGCCTCTTTTTGTGACGTATTTCTTTTCATTTGGATCATAACACAATACGAGCCTTTGATTTGTTTATGTCGAAAGTAAAAAAAATCTTCTGTTAATACTTTCTAAATAACTTTATTTGTTAGTCTGCTTACTAAAGCTATCAAAAGTCTAGACAGAAACTGGGAGGAATTTTGGCATGGTATTCCAAAATCTTGTGTTCTCCACAGAAACCTATAGATTTATTGTATAATTATTGAATAACCTTTCATAGGTCACAGTGCACTTCAGATGCATATACAGGTAGTCCTCAACTTACAATAGTTCATCTAATGACCGTTCAAAGTGTTAGGAATAAAATTTTAGAATAAAAAGTAAAGTTAAGTGACACGTACTCTGTAAAATTTCTACACGCAGACTGAAAGATTTCTACACAAAATTTCTACACGTAGACTGCAAGATTTCCACACAATTTCTACATGTACATGTACCTTGTAAGAGTTCTGCACGTAGGCTATAGGATTTCCACACTGAGCTATAGGATTTCATGATAAAGTACATATAAGGGAATAGGTGAAGCAAAATAGTAAGGGGCATGGATAATGTATTTTGTTTAGGCGATCCTGATAAGATTGTAACCTCAGAGGAGGGGCCAAGGCGTCGGGATAGAATGTATATAATGTGTGTTTTCGCTGTGACTAGGTGTGGCTCAAATATTTATTTGGAGTCCACCACGCTTTGCAAACCGTTGTAGCCAATAAATCTCTGTCTAATTTCAACTTGCTGTTTGGTGTTATTCAGTGGGCTAGAATTTCTACCAACAAAAGTTACAACAGCAATGAAAAAAGTGACCGTTTTTCACACAACTGTTGCAGTATCCCTGTAGTCATGTGATCAAATTTTGAATGATTGGCAACTGACTGATATTTATGATGGTTGCAGTGTCCTAGGGCCATGTGATCATTTTTTGTGACCTCACAAGCAAAGTCAATGGGAAAGCCAGATTCACTTAACTGTGTTACTAACTTAACTCCAGTGATTCACTTAACTGTTGCAAGAAAGATCATAAAATGGGGCAAAACTCATTTAACAATTGTCTCACTTAGCAACAGAAATTTTTGGCTCAATTGTGATCATAAGTAGAGGACTAACAGTAGTGCTCAAAGGAAATTTATATACACATATACATGCATACATAAATATTACACACACACACACACACACACAAGCATTGGGAAGACTTATTTAAAGGAGCAATGAGAAGCAGAACTGCTTATAATTAATTACTACAGGTAGATCTCAACGAATTAATCCCACAAAATGGTTTCTTATGCAAATTTACATTATTCAAAGTTATATTTCTATAGAAAATATGGTAACTAATTCCAGCTTGATGGAAAAAGCAAAATATTTAAATATTCTGTGGGAAGTCAGCCCCCCCCCCCCAGAAAAGGAAATAGTTTGGGGGATATTAAAGAAGGCAGAATATTATATTTCCCCAAATGAATAATAGAAAATCTTAGGCAGAACCCCCACCCCCAGTCTCTCTGCCCCAAGCAAAAACCAGCTTTGTAGAAATGCAGATTTGATAATCCTTTCAGAAAGACTGGAGCCAGGAATCTTGGAGCTGATGGAATTAGAAAGACGAAGACTCCTAAATCTACATCCCCCACCCAAAATCTAAAGACATGACCTTTAGGACATAATAGGATTAACCCACCACCATTAGAATACCAGAAGAGCACACTTGGGTCAAAGTTCATTGAACAGAAACAACTCCAAACACAAAAGCCCAAGAAGATATAAAAACCCACCACTCCCAGCTCCATTTTGTTAGCCACCCCAGAAACACATGCTGTGTCACTGAAGTTTCTGGCAACTAAATAAACAAGAACCTTCTTTGTAAAGCAGTCTCTGTTTTGTTTATTCTCAACTTGGACTGGACTCTGATGAAGATTTTTCTTTCAACAATAAAGGGTAAAAATAGAATTTAAATATATGGATAACAAAGTTACAGAATAATTATAGAAAGCAAAATAAAAACCAAGAATTCTAAATATCATTTCTAAAACTTACACTGACAAAAACATCTTTATTGTCTGTCAAACTATTTTAGTAATGTAAACCAAACTGTTTTTCTTTAAATCTTCATACATATTTTGGTAGACACAGAGTACTTTATCCACACCTAAGGGAACTTGCATGTTTCAATTGAGGCTAAGATCGATATAATTTTTTGCTTTACAAGCTCTGCAGCTCAAAAGATATTTTCACTTCTTGCCTGAGCAGGGGGTTGGACTAGATGACCTCCAAGATCCTTTCCAACTTTATTATTATTATTATTATTATTAATAATAATAATAATAATAATAATCAGGGGCTGCCACAAAGAAGACGGTGTCAAGCTATTTTCCAAGGCGCCTGAAGGCAGGACAAGAAGCAACGGGTGGAAAATAAGCAAGGAGAGAAGCAACCTAGAACTAAGGAGAAACTTCCTGACAGTTAGAACAATTAACCAGTGGAACAACCTGCCTCCAGAAGCAGTGAATGCTCCAACACTGGAAGTTTTTAAGAAGAGACTGGACAGCCATTTGTCCAAAATGGTATAGGGCAGGGGTGTCAAACTCAATTTCATTGAGGGCTGTATCAGCATTGCGGTTGCCCTCAGGGACCGGGTGAGAGTCGCCAGGATGGGTGAGGGCTACTGGGTGGGTGTGGATGGAGGGGGTGTGGTCTACTGGATGGGCGTGGCCAGCTCTACATCGTTCACGTCAAAGGTGCCTGTGGGGGCCTGGGCAGGAGTGGGACAGATCTGAGGGTCTCTGGCAGAAGGGGGTGGGATCAGGGCAAGTGCCAAGGCATGATCCACTAGTGGAGTCTCACTGTTCCTTTCAGCTATGCGGGGGAGAGGGCTGGATGTTGGTGCAAGCTGCCTGGAGCCCTGGGCAGCAGAGGTCAAATGCCCAGCCTGGCCCTCAAGCACCTGCGGCACCAGGCCCAGCCACACTTCCCCTAGGGGGTGCCCAGCTGCATTTACCTCCTCCTCAAAGCTGCTGCTGCTGTAGTTGTTCTCCTTAGCCAGGTTGCTCATGATGGGTATGAGGGCAAAGTCAGAGGGAGGCCCATTCTCTCTCCATGGGAGGAGACCCGGCTTTGTATCCAAAGCTTTCTTAGCAATAGGATGGGAGATCCCCAAGATAGACCAGGAGGAGGGGGCAAGGGGATGGTGAAAGGGCAGCAGGGCAGGACTAAGGCAGGACTTCCCTCAGACCCTCCCTCTCCTTCTTTCCTTCTTTCATTCCTAAGTACAGAGTGGTGGGAAAATATTTGAGGTGAGGGAGGGAGAAAAACAGGCAAGAAACACCCAGGGGGCGGGGCCGACGCGGCAGAGGCTGGTTCCTTGCTGTTTCCAGATGGCCTTGTGGAGCTAAGACTGAATGCGTTTCAGCATAGATAGCCACCATAAAATTGTACATTGGCTCCCAGCCAGCCTGGGCCAGGGCCAAGGATGGCTTTGCGGGCCACATGAAACCACTTTGTGGGCTGTATCCGGCCCCCGGGCCTTGTGTTTGACATGTCTGGTATAGGGTTTCCTGCCTGAGCAGGGGGTTGGACTAGATGACCTCCAAGATCTCTTCCAACTTTACTATTATTATTATTATTATTATTATTATTATTATTATTATTATTATTATATTATTATTATTATCGACCATCGCACAGTCAGCCAGATGTTCAGACTGGATTTGGCATTTTGTCTACCTATCGAGTCCTTACCCAGGACCTGGGATAGGCAGATGTGGATGTTTGATGGTATTACAGGTATCGTCGCAGGATGGAAGCAGTTCTTAGTAAGGCCGCCTTTTGCAATTGACTAATAGCGAATTTGTCAGTGCCAATGGTGTTCAAGTGGTGCTCCAGTTGTTTTGGGATTGCACCCAAGGAGCCTATTACTATTGGTACTACTCTTGCTTGCTTTTGCCACAGTTTTCTATTTCTATTTGTAGGTCTTTGTATTATTATTATTATTATGGATCATCGCACAGTCAGCCAGATGTTCAGACTGGATTTGGCATTTTGTCTACCTATTGAGTCCTTACCCAGGACCTGGGATAGGTAGATGTGGATGTTTGATGGTATTACAGATATCGTCGCAGGATGGAAGCAGTTCCTAGTAAGGCCGCCTTTTGCAATTGACTAATAGTGAATTTGTCAATGCCAATGGTGTTCAGATGGTGCTCCAGTTGTTTTGGGATTGCACCCAAGGAGTCTATGACTATTGGTACTACCCTTGTTTGCTTTTGCCACAGTCTTTCTATTTCTATTTGTAGGTCTTTGTATTTTATTATCTTCTCCAGTTCTTTCTCGTCTATTCTGCTATCTCCAGGCACTGTCACGTCCACTATCCAGACTTTTTTGTCTTTCTTACGACAATTGTTATGTCTGGGGTGTTATGTTGCAGGTGCTTGTCTGTTTGAATTCTGAAGTCCCAAAGCAGTTTAATTTTATCATTTTCTATGACTTTCTCTATTTTATGATCCCACCAGTTTTTGCTTACAGGCAAATGATATTTTTTGCAGATCTTCCAATGCACCATTGTTGTTACTTTGTCATGCCGCTGCTTGTAATCAGTTTGTGCAATCTTCTTGCAACAGCTTACCAAGTGGTCCGCTGTTTCTTCAGCTTCTTTGCATAGGCGGCACTTACTGTCTGTTGCTGTCTTCTCAATTTTGACTTTGTATGCATTTGTCCTTAAGGCTTGGTCTTGTGCAGCCAGAATTAGTCCCCCGGTCTCTTTCTTCAATTTTCCTGCTCTTAGCCATTGCCAGGTCTTGTTATTATCTGCTTTCCCAGCTATTTT